ACAGCAACCTCCAACTCCTGGCTCAAGCGCATCTCCTGCCTCAGCCTTCCAAGTAGCTGGGACCACAGGCGTCCACCACAACGCCTGGCTATTTTTTGGTTGCAGACGTCATTGTTGTTTGGCAGGCCCTGGCTGGATTCGAACCCACCATCTTAGGTGTATGTGGCTGGCACCTTAGCCACTTGAGCCACAGGCACTGAGCCGCAGTATTTTTTTTCTATTTTTAGTAGTCATGGGGTCTCACTCTTGCTCAGGCTGGTCTCAAACTCCTGAGTTCAAAGAATCCTCCCTCCTTGAGGATTAAAGACCCAGAGTGCTGGGATTACAGGTGTGAGCCACTGTGTACAGCCAAATACATACTATATTCTTGAAAATAACTACTGATTTAAGTAGAAGAGTAACCAAACAAGCTTAGATTTTTCCAAAATGTATTAGAGTTTGATATGGAATATCATTTTAAAAACATTTCAGATTTTAAAAAATGTTTTTCAGTGCGATTTTCTCTGACATTTTAGTTTAACATTAGATCAAAAATTTCTTCTTCACTCCACTCACAAATTCTCCATTATAAAATTTCAGTTTTTTCAGGCTAATATCAAGTCCAGGATATGTAATCACTTTAAGTTTTGTCAAGAATTCAAATCATGCCCAAGGCTGGCAACCGTAAACCTAGCCCACAACTCAACTGGCAGTCACATCTTAAACCTACATTATTCTCTGCTTCTCATAAAGTTCCCATTAGCTCCCACATGGTTTTTGTTTATGTGTGGAAAATGCCCTCCATAAGCAACTTACAGTTAAATCCTTTGGGCATATCAGTAAACTACGGAAACTGCATACATTTTCACTGGGCATATCAGACTTGTGACACAAAAAATACGTACTGGCTCTAAGTCTAAATCCGTAAAGTGCTGCAGCTATTTCAGGTAATGATTTGGCTTCTGTAATGTTTAAGTTTTTGTTCATCGTTAATTCTGCTGTCTCTAGTCTATGTTATTTATCAAAACAATACTATTCTTTCTCTTTATTTTCTGCGTTGTTACAAAAAGTTTCTTAAAGTTGGACTTGTTGAAACAGGAGAATACAAAGGACACGCAAATGAAACTGCAGACGGGGCCCTTAGGCAAAGGCTGATACTAAATGTAGATTCCCCCAAAAGTAAAATAATTTGGCATCCACGCTAAAAGACATTCATTAAATATTTGCTCAGCATTTACCAAAGGTGAGGCTAAGCGCTCTGCAGTGGAGGGTGGGGAAGGAACCCGGAGTCATCCGACCGCACACTCCACCTCTCTGCAGTCCAATCACTCAGCTCTGGTCCCACCCAACTCAGACCCTGGCTTAGCAAAACGAAAGAGCTGCTGTGGAGTTAATCTGATCCACCTCTTCGAATGGCAATTAGTCACCAATTATTATCCCAATGTGCCATTCCTGGGAGGTTGTGGATCTCACCTTCCAACCCCAATTGCCCAAGTTCCTAACTGCACAGGCATTTTCCTTGGGAGGCGCTCTTGTCAACAGCTGCTCTGTCTCTCTAGGATTTCAGAACGGCTAACACGCCTTGCCCCGGCGATGCTGGCGGCGTCTGCTACAGCCTGCGGCCCGCACCCGTGTGCCTGTCGGTCTTCCAGCACCTGCGGGGCAGCGGGCAGACACGGGACCGACGCGCGGCGGCCGGGCCAACGCGGAGACCTCTCTTGCCTCCCGTGGGCGCGACCCAGGGGCCCTCTCCCGAGCCGCTCTTCAGCATCGGTCCCCGCCCCCGTCCCGTAGCCCAGAGGTCTCGGCTCCAGACCCGCCCCGCGCCGGAGGCCCCGCAGCAAAAGCCGCTGCCGCTGCCGCCGCCTCGGCCCGGCCTCAGGGCTCCTGGGCGCCGAGGGTGCCGTGCCCCGCAGCCCCTCCACCCCGCCGCCCCGGCCTCACCTCTCGGGGCGGCCATGGTCCCAGCGGCCCGGAGCGGCGGATGCGCCCTTCCGAAGCCACCGAGACGACGCCGCTCAGCCTAGAGCGCCGCCCGCCCGCCGGCTACACCCCTGACCACGCTCCAGAATTGGGTTCGGGAGTCAGAGCCGCTCCCCGAGACTGGAAAAACCCGAACTTGGGAGGCCTTCCCGGCGAGTCGTCAGTGGCCGGGGCGGAAGTCCCGGCAGGACGCGGAGTCCTGTGACCACGCGCGGCCGCCGGGGAGCCGAGCCCGGGCCGCGCGGCGCTGACTGGGAGTTGTAGTCCGAGCAGAGCCCACTCGCGGAGGGGCTGCGGGGACCGGTTCGCTCCTGTCACCAACGACGGACAAGCGCCTGCAGCTTCTAAAGGAACAGAGTGTATTTTGGGCAGCTTTATAACTTCCATCTAGTTCACTGTCTTCCATTGTTACCTTTTGTTTAAAATTCGTGTAATTCGTTACCTCTTTTTCATAAGTCTTGTGCCTATGTACCTATCATCAACATTGTCATTGATTATATTTCCCTATCCAGACATTCTAACTACGTTATCTAGGGACAACAAAAAGGCCTCAAGAATATTAGATAACCACCGCTATTGATACCAGAAAAGTGGCACCCCAGCCAGCTCAGCTGAGCAGGGCCTGGGGGATCTGCCACTTCTGTCTTGGTGGCAGCAGCCGGCAAAGAAACCGGCAGTTGGGGCAAGCGGGGGAGCTTTCTTCCCCCAAAGGCTCCAGTAGAGCGGTGCTAGAGGACCTGTCAATCAAGGGAAAACTGCTGCCCATCCCTGATTGGTCCATTTTCAATCCTGCCCCTGATTGGTCCATTTTATAGACCAATGACAGCTAAGCTATTACACCTATATAAGACCCTGAGCAGAGAGCCTGGGGGCAGATCCTCGCAGACCTTGGGGGAAGCTAGAGCAGAAGTATAAGACTTCAGCAGTCCATCGCAGACTGTCCAGAAGAAGAAGCGAGAGCTGTGGCACTTCTAGTGCTGATCCTGCTCTACAAAGAGGCTTGACCCTTTGCTGATCTCTGCCCTGCAAAGAGGCTTGGTCCTTTGTAAGAGCTGTAGCTGTAGCGCTTCCACTGCTGATCCTGCCCTGCAAAGAGGCTTGGCCCTTTGCTGATCTCTGCCCTGCAAAGAGGCTTGGTCCTTTGTAAGAGCTGTAGCACTTCTGCTGCTGATCCTGCC